GACACCGAAAGCTGACGAAGCAGATATACAGATGGCAGGCTGGCTCATGTCACTTAGATTAGGTTGGAGACCAGTTTAGCTCATCCATCATGACAGGTGTTGAGGCATCAGAACCTTCTAGAGTAGAAGAATTGGCCTAGGAAAATGACTCGTGAATTAAAAAATTATTCCATATTATTGCAAGAACGTCACCCATCTTGTGTCTTTCATGTGCTTTGCATTTTTTGAGACAAGGCCTCACTAGATAGGCCACTGGTGACGGTCCTGCCTCAGCCTTTTGAGGGCCTTGATAACAGGCATGTGCCACCACACTCTTCATGGACTCTCTCAGCAAAGCTACACTTCTCCAAAGAAAGGACTGACAGATAAATGCTGACAAACATCTCACAGAATATGCACTTCGATTTTGAGAAATTTTCATAATAGTTAGAATGGGGAGTTTAAACGCTTTGCCTGGGCCTGTGATGGGAATTACTTGTAAGACTTCAAAAGTTCAAGGACTGCCTAAGCTACATAGTAAGGTCTAGGCTAGCCTGAGCTACTTATTGAGACACTGAGATACTGTTTCAAAGTAAAATCATTAAAAGAGAGGCAAGGGGTGTGGTTCAGTGGTGGAGCCCCTGCCTAGAATTCCCCAGTGAGGGGCTGGGGATGTGGTTTAGTGGTAGAGCTCCTGCCTAGAATCCCCCAGTGAGGGGCTGGGGCGTGGCTCAGTGGTAGAGCCCCTGCCTAGAATCCCCCAGTGAGGGGCTGGGGCATGGCTCAGTGGTAGAGCACTTTCCTAGCTTATGGAAAACCCTGGACTCAGTCCCTAGCATCATATTCACAGACAAAGCAGCCTTTGTCTCTCATGATGGTCTCCAGGTTTACATCCAGCTCATCACCTTCTCTTTGGAGCACTTTGTTTCCTTGGCTCTACGTCATGGCTTTCCTAATGTTCCTGCTCCTCAGCCCCTCTCCAGCATTCAGCTCCTTTTCCCATTCCCAATTCCAAGAGGCCAAGCCTTACTTGTCGTCACCAACCCCTCAGCCCAGATGACCTCAGCAGGTCCCAGGACTTTAAATACAAGCTACATGTAAACTTAGCATACCTGTGTAATTATTGGTAAGAGGACAGAACACCTGTCATTTGTTTAAGACAGACAAAATTCAAAAAGAAAACGTATCAGTTTGCTTCTCTTTTACTCTGATAAAACACTGACCAAGACAGATTCAACTCAATGCCCATCAAAATCCCAGCAAAATTCTTCAAAGACCTCGAAAGAATGGTACTCAACTTCATTTGGAAAAGCAAACCCAGGATAGCCAAAACAATCCTGTACAATAAAAGAACTTTTGGAGGTATCACAAGCCCTGACTTCAAACTCTACTACAGAGCTACAGTACTGAAAACAGCCTGGTAATGGCATAAGAACAGACAGGAGGACCGATGGAACCGAATGGAAGACTCGGATATCAACCCACACATCTTTGAACACCTGATCTTTGATAAAGAAGCAAAAAAAAAATATCATATGGAAAAAAGAAAGCATATTTAACAAGTAGTGTTGGCATAAACGGATATCAACATATAGAAGAATGAAAATAGACCCATATCTATCACCATGCATAAAACTCAAGTCCAAGCCGGGCGGTGGTGGCGCACGCCTTTAATCCCAGCACTCGGGAGGCAGAGGCAGGCGAATCCCTGTGAGTTCGAGGCCAGCCTGGTCTACAAGAGCTAGTTCCAGGACAGGCACCAAAAAAACTACAGAGAAACCCTGTCTCGAAAAAAAAAAAACCAAAAAAAAACTCAAGTCCAGGGGGCTGGAGAAATGGCTCAAAGGTTAAGAGCACTGCCTGCTCTTCCAAAGGTCCTAAGTTCAATTCCCAGCAACCACATGGTGGCTCACAACCATCTATAATGAGATCTGGTGCCCTCTTCTGGCCTGCAGGCTGTATACAGACAGAATATTGTATACATAATAAATAAATAAATATAAAAAACCTCAAGTCCAAATGGACCAAAGACCTCAACATAAAACCAGCCACACTAAACCTTATAGAAGAGAAAGTGGGAAGTACACTTGAACGCATTGGCACAGGGAACCACTTCCTAAATACAACCCTAGTAGCACAGACACTGAAACAATTAATAAATAGGACTTCCTGAAACTGAAAAGCAAAGGACATGGTCAACAAGACAAAATGACAGCCTACAGAATGGAAAAAGATCTTCACTAACTCCACATCAGACAGAGGTCTGATCTCCAAAATATACAAAGAACTCAAGAAATTGGACACCAAAAGATCACATAATTCAATAAAAAAAAATGGAGTACAGACCTAAACAAAGAACTCTCAACAGAGGAATCTAAATTGGCTGAAAGACACTTAAGGAAATGTTCAACATCCTTAGTCATCAGAGAAATGCAAATCAAAACAACTCTGAGATTCCATCTTTCACCTGTAAGAATGGCAAAAATCAAAAACACTGGTGACAACTTATGCTGGAGAGGTTGTGGGGAAAAGGGAACACTTCTGCATTGCTGGTGGGAACGCAAGCTGGTACAACCCTTTTTGATGTCAGTGTGGCAATTTCTCAGTAAATTAGGAAACAACCTTCCTCAAGACCCAGTAATACCACTTTTGGATATATATCCAAAGGATGCTCAATCGTGCCACAAGGACATGTACTCAACTATGTTCATAGCAGCTTTGTTTGTCATAGCCAGAACCTGGAAACAACCTAAATGCCCCTAGATTGAGGAATGGATAAGAAAAATGTGGCACATTTACACAATGGAGTACTACACAGCAGAAAAAAATAATGACAGCTTGAATTTTGCAGTCAAATGGATAGAGCTAGAAAACATTATTTTGAGTGAGGTAACCCAGACACAGAAAGACAATTATCACATGTACTCACTCATAGGTGGTTTTTTAAACATAAAGCAAAGAAAGCCAGCCCACAAACCACAATCCCAGAGAATTTAGACAACAATGCAGACGCTAGGAGAGATTTACATAGATATAATCTACATGGGGAGTAGAAAGTAGAAAAAGACAAGATCTCCTGAGTAAATTGGGAGCATGGGGACCTTGGGGGAGGATTGAATGGGGAGAGGAGAAGCAGGGAAGGGAGCAGAGAAAAATGTAGAGCTCAATAAATATCAATAAAAAATGTATTAAAAAAAACACTGACCAAGGCACTGGAGAGATGGCTCAGTGCTTAGGAGTACTGGCTACTCTTATAAAGGACTTAGGTTCAATTCCCAGCACCCATACGGCAGCTCTCAACCATGAATAACTCCAGTTCCAAGGTGGTCTGATGTCCTCTTCTGGACTCAATGGGCACTGCACATATATGGAGCACAGACACACATGCTGGCAAAACATCTGTTTATAAATAAACAAATTTCAAAACCAATTCTGACCATGAAAGGGTAGGGGCTGTACTTCATGCACATCACCACTCATCACTGAGGGAAGCAGGGCAGGAACTGAAGCCGAGACCGCGGAGTAGCTCAGCTTAGCGTCTTATTTCTCACAGCAGCTTGCTCAGTCTGCTGTTTTTTTATAACCCAGACTACCTGCTTGGGGTGGCACTGTCCACAGTAAGTGGACCCTATGCCAACAATCAGCAATCAAGAGAGTGCTGCATGGACATGTCCACAGGCTGATCCGACAGAGGCAACTCCTTATCGAGATCCCCTCCCCAACAGTCAGCCAAGCTGGCAACCAAGCTCAGTCAACACAGAAAACAAGCACCTGGGGGGCGGGGCGTGGGGGTGGTGAAAACAAGGTAAGATGCCTCCAGACTGGGCAGCAGACAAGCAGGAGTTCTTGACTCCATCATACCCTTTTGAAGGCTTCAAAATTATTTAGTGAAAAGAAAAAAAAATGTTATCTCCAAACGCCAACTTCTCTGCTGCCAGAAGCTCTTGCTGTAGAGCCCAGGCTAGCCTTGAACTCAGGACCTTCCTACTTCAACTTCCCTGGGATTGGGGTTATAGGTATGCGCCATGATGCCTGGCTTTCTGCCAACCTTAAAGTTTGTCTAGTTCTGTCCTTTTCCCACATGCCACAAGGAGCATCATTCATCAAGTTAAGCAGGCCCCAGACCCTTGCTTAGGGTAGGTGTGGTAGTGTGTGTCTGTCATCCCAGCTGGGTAGACACAAGTTCAAGGCCAGCTTGGACTACACAATGAGTGAGAGACCAATTGGGGTTAAGAGACTCTGTCTCCAAAGATTGCCCTGCAACAAAAGAACTCTCTTTTTAAAAAAAGATTTATTTCTTTATCTTTATGTGTAGTGAGTGTGCTAGCCTGTGTTTACCTATACCCCCATGCTTGCAGCTGTGGAGGTCAGAGGATATCAGAGCTCCCAGAGCTGGATCTACTGGGGGTTCTGAGCTGTTTGATGTGGGTGCTGGAACTGAGCCAGGTCCTGTAAAGAACATGAAGCCATTCCTCTGGCCCCTCAAAAAGAACTTTTTAAACATCGTGGTGTTTCTAGTATGTGCACACAAGTACAGAAGGCTAACTCGTGCTGCTGCCTCGTGCTAACACGCGCACTACCTTAGCACCTATATCCTTGTCATGAGAAGCCTTACGTTTCCCTCAGCAAACTTCACGCATTCCCCATGTGGTTATCATCTGGAGTCATCATGTTGCCCCATGGGTCCCTAAGATACCTGTCTGTCACCCTGAGTCATACTTCCTCTCACTCTGGCTCAACCCTCTGCTCAACTTTCCAAATTCCCTGTCAATCAGCTCCCCTACCTTCCCAAGTCATCTCGGGGCATCTTGCCTAGACAGGTTCAGCGGTTTCCACATGCCCTGCCTGCACTTGACAGCGCTGCAGGCCTTTCTCCTCAAAGCACCCAGAGAGTCCTTGTTGTAGAAAACGCAGTGCATTCTGAAGTGTCCCCCCACCCCCGCCACCCCTGCCACCAGTCCTGACTCACATGTGTCTCTCACCTTTACCCTCCAGGCAACCACCATTGTGAAGTTTGGGGGTTACTAGGGAAATATTTTATTATTAACAACAATAATACATCAGAACATGCTAGGCCTTGTATGTAGCCCTCCAACCATTTCTCACTGCACCTGGAAGCTATAAATCCATACCATGCTTAGGAGGACAGTACCTCTGGGTGCAGGGAATCTCAGGCTCTTCCCACTAAGCATCAGGACCTGAGTTTTTCTGAGAACCCACGAGGCGGAAGGAAGAAAACGATTCCTGATGTTGTCCCGATATGTGGACCACGGTTCACACATTCACACCCCACCCCCTACTCCACGTCTCCCTACTCCATGTCCACATGATAAATAAACAAATGTGAGAAATTTTGAAAAACAAACCAACCAACCTGTGCCTCCATCCCTAAGTGCTCCCCGCTTTCTTCTTGCCGCTTTGTTGGCCCCTCTGGCCATCTCCATGGCTTGTCCCATCACAACTTTCAGGAACAGGTCAGAGGTGAAGGCCACCTTGGTCAGCAATGGCTAGTGATGTCATCAAGTATGCCTATGAAATGTAGCCCCATAAAAAATCCAAAGGGAGAGGATGGCAAGATGGCTTAGTAGGTAAAGACCCTTGCTGCCATGCCTGAGGGTCTGAGTTCAATCCCTGGGCCCCACATGTTGAAAGATGAGAACCCAAATGTTGTCCTCTGAACTCCCCACATAATAAATAAACATAACGAAAATAAATTTAAAGACAAGTGGTACACACCGGAAATTTCAGCACCGAGGAGGCTGAGGTAGGAGTACTGGCCTGAGTTTGAGGCCAGTCTGGGTTACATAGTTAGGCTCTATCTCAAAATACAAAAAAAAAAAAAAAAAAAAAAAAAAAAAAAAAAAAAAAAAAAAAAAACACAGAAACACAAGCTTTCTGGCCATGCCCCTAGAGATGTGGCAGCCCCTGACCCTCTCTCACACCGAACTCTACAACACACTCCATCCTACATAAGAGCTAGCACCCCGCATTCCCTAACTTCTACTGGAATGGGACACCTGAGGCTTGTGTCTGGTGTGTGGGGGACATTTGCTGCCAGCAAATGACCTTGTGGGACCCTAGCTAGAGGACACTCAGTTCATGCTGCTTTGCATGCTGGGGAACCCCCTCGCCCACACACCTGCAGTCAAAAGCCGTAGAGAGAGATGGGGGAGGGCGGACTGAGTTTGTTTCTTCCTGTCCCAGGCCCACTCCCACCTCTTGTGTGCTTCTGAACCTCCCTGAAGACTCACTTCCTTGCCCTTTAATGCCTTTGCTCAAGCATCACCCTCTCCCCCTATAGTAACTTTCTGGGGCTCTGCCAAACTCTATGACTTTTAAAGCTCTAATCCCCTTGTCTTTTTCTTTGAGTTTTATTTTCTTTGTAAAATTAATATATAAAAATTGAATGTGTATGGTAGGCAATAAATTTTATTACATTTATCTAAGGTGCAAGTGTGTCTATGCATGTGTACATGTGTGTGCCACGCATACACATGGAAGGCAGCAGACAACTTTTGGAACTTCATTCTCTTTATCATGTGAGTGCTGAGGATCAAACTCAGGTCATCAGGTCCAGCAGCAGGAACCTTTACTGGCTGAACTATCTCGCCAGCCCCCACACAATGTTTTGGTATAAACGTATATAGGCCACACCTACAGCATACTCATTTGTGAAGTGTTCCAACTGTCCTGTTGCAAGGATTAAGTCTCCTTCCTAGATTCTTTCAGAGATGTCCCTCCACCCCCCGCCAGCCAGACATGGTGGCACATGCCTATGGTCCTCGGGAGGTGGAGGTAGGAGGATCAGGGCTACCCAAAACTCAGGACAAGCTCATGGCCCTCACTAAGCCTTTTGCAAGGATTATATTCCTTTGTTCTGGTTCAGCATTTTTAATTCCAAAAAGCCGCACACAAATGATTAAGGTGTTAGCCCCTAAATAATAATCCTTCCCTGGGTTTACAGAACTCAGAAGAACCCGCTGACCTTCAGATGACGTCAGAGCACCCTTCAGTTCACGTGAGAGCACCCTTCAGTTCAGTCAGCGGACTAACACAAACTTTGCAAACTGCTCTGCAGTTTAGCTTAAAAACAAACAAACAGACAAGGTCATAAAACCTTTGAAAGAGAAGAGAGGAAGTGCCCCCCCCAGAAGTCCAAGCCCACTTTGAGCTTCCACAAGGAAAAAGAAGACATTCTGGGGATGGAAATCCAGCCCAGCATGCAGCCTTCCTGCCCACTGTCTCCCCTCTCCCTACAACTCTGTTTCCTTTTCAGAAAAGTGTGGGTGTGAGGGTGCCCATCTTTAATCCCAGAACCCCGGAGGCACAGGCAAGCAGATCTCTGTGAGCTGGAAGCTAGCCTGGTCTACATAGGGAATTCCAGGAAAGACAAGCCATCATGGTGACCCTGTCTCTAAAAGAAAGAGACAGAGAGAGAGAGAGAGAGAGAGAGAGAGAGAGAGAGAGAGAGAGAGAAAGAGAGAGAGGAAGAAAGAGTTCACCAAGACAGGAGTCTGGGAGCAGGACTCCCTCCAAATGCAAGACAGTAAGAAACTTGACTCCCCCTCTCTCTTATCTCCTGAATGTCTGCCTCTTCGACAGCGCCTGGACCTGGATCTAGAGCCTGACAGCTGCTGACTAATTAACATCTGCCTTATCTTGTACACTCAGTGTTATTACTTGCTGAGAACACATAAGCCTGTTTTTCAAGGATTTCATATGTAGGATTTACTGGTCGTAACTGTAGTCACAATGTCATACATACAACGGGCCTGTGTGTGGAAGCGAGGTGCATGCACGTGAGTGTGGGTCCACATACCTGTGCACACACCTGTGGAGGCCATAGGAGGACCTTGAGGGTCTTCTTCCATTGCTCTCTACCTTACTGCCATGAGACAGGGTCTCTCACTGAAATGGGAGCTCAGTGGGCAGCACCCAGGAGCTGTTTGCATCCACCCCATGATGAACGCTGAAACTCCAGTCCCAGTGGATCCAATGCCCTCTCCTGACCTCCATGGGAACCAAGCACACACACATGGTGCACTTAAATGCATGCAGGCAAAACACCCATACACACAAAATAATCTTTTTAATTAAAAAGAATACCATCACATGCATGTATACACAGGAATACGTGTTTATAGAAGGAAGGCTCTGGATGCGTGTGTAGGCATCAACAGAAAACCGGAACAGCCTGAGCGGCTGCTAGCTTGAGAGCTCTCTGGGGCGGACTGTGCAGCTGACTCTCTCAGGGAAGAGTCAACCTTGGCTTGGTAGCCGGACTCTGATACTCCTTAACCATTTTCCTGTCAATAAGGGAGGGAGCTGTACTGAGAGAAGTCAGGGGGAGGCACAGCCTGGTACACAGTGGCCCAAGGTCAATGCTGAGCCCCTCCCTGCCCTCCCTCCCAGTGGTGTGTGCACAGATGAGTGCACTCACTCTGCGTGAGTGAACATGGAGGCCAGAGTTTCACGTCAGTGACGTCATCTATTTTTTGTTTTTTTTTTTAATGTGTATGAGTGTTTTGCTGCATGTATGTCTGTGCACCACATTCATGCTGTACCTGTGGAAGCCAGAAAAGGCCTATTTTTGGAGTGAGTTCATGAGCAATTTAAGACTTGGTCTCAAAAAATAAAATCTGGCCTGGAAAGATGGCTCTGCAGTCAACAGCACTGGCTGCTCTTGTAGAGGACAGGGGTTCAATTCCCAGCACCTTTGTGGTGGCTCACAACCTTATGTTACTCTGGTTCCAGGAATCCAATGCCCTCTTCTGGTCTCTGACAGCACCAGGCAAACACATGGTGCTCAAACATACTTACAGGCAAAGCACTCATATACATAAAAAAATAAATCTTTAAAAAAATATAATCAGAGAGCTGGGTTGTAGCTGAATGACAGAGTGCTTAAGTTCAGTCCCCAATGCCCTATCTCAAATATATGTATGCTAAAACCTTAACTCAGGGATCAGTGAGCTGGCTTGCTGCCAAACCCGGGCCCTCAGTCCCATCTGTGGGACCCATGTGATACAGAGTACTGACTTCTGCAAGTCACCCTCTGACCTCCATGTGTACGTGCACACCCATACACACACAATAAATGTTACAAAATAGACAAGCATTTAATTCAAGCCTCATCCTAACCCCCAGAGGCCACACATCCTGCTGAAAGCTCCAGTGACTCCAGAAGCACTGAGCTCCTTATGAACAGCCCTCCAACAGCTATGCCCTGCAGGCCACCTTCAGCCAGCAGACCTGTGCTTTCTGCCGCCAAGCTTTAATTACAAAACTCCTTTGCAGGCTGGGGATGTGGTCCAGGCGGCAGAGTGCTTATCTAGAATGCATGAAGCTCTAGGTCAATCCCCAGCCTCACACAGACAGGCATAATGGGGCATGTCTGTATCTCAGCACTCCAGAGGGCACTTGTATTGAAATTTGAAAGAAAGGAAAGGCAAACTTTAAGTCTTGGCAGCTGCTCACAGGAGAATGGAGAGAAGAGCTGGGGAGTGAGGGAGGGGGGATGCTGTCTGAGTTATGGCCATCACGGAGATTAGTATGCATGGAGATCAGCCATACTGAGGACGTGTGTGTGTGTGTGTGTGTGTGTGTGTGTGTGTGTGTGTGTGTGTCTTGAAATGCTACATAGCAAGGCTCTCTTTCTTTTCTTAGTACAAAAGAGAAAGAGGGAGGAAACAAAGAAGAGCTGGGGGGGGGGGTGGGGATCCCAGCACTCTGGAAGCAAAGGTAAGAAGGGTGGGTGCATGCAGGTAGGATAGGCGAAAGAGACAGGGGTAGCAGGGTAACAACACTGAGGCCTTTTTTAAAAAAGAAAAGAACTGGTGGAGGTGGCACATCGCCACTCACCTGTCTTTCCGTTGGGCAACCAGACACCTGGTGGTTGGCTGAGTCCCCATGAGTGCAGCCCACTGCCTTGTGCCTTCTTGCTGCTTCAGGCTGTGCGTGATGCCTTTTGACTGTCTGCCCCTTTTGCACACCCAGTAATTGATATGATAGTTCCGTCCTCAATCAGGCCATGCACACCTGTCAGCAGACTTCTTGCCACAGATGCCAGTCTAGACTTTTCTCTAGGCCAGCCCTTTCTCAACCTGCAGTTCATGACCCCTGGTGGGAGCATCCAAGGGCTCTTTCACAGGGGTCACCTAAGACCATGGAAAAACACAGATATTTACATTACGATTCATAATAGCAAAATTACAGTTATGAAGTAGTAACAAAAACAATTTTAGGGTTGGTCACCATACCACAAGGAACTGTATTATTATTATTATTATTATTATTATTATTATTATTTGATTTTTCTAAACAGGGTTGCTCTGTGTAGCCCTAGCTGTCTTGGAACTTCCTTTGTAGACCAGGCTGGCCTCAAACTCAGAGATCCAGTTGCTTCTGCCTGGGATTAAAGGCATGCGCCACCACCGCCCATTTGAGGGACTGTTTTAAAGGGTCACAGCATTAGAAAGGTTGAAAACCACTGATCTAGGTGTTCTCGCTGCCCTAGTTGAACTGGGCCCTGCCTATAAGCCCTTCAAGATCGCGCCTCACGGCCAGTCCCTAGTCAGTCCTGTATTTGCAGCATTTGCTCAGCCCAGAACACTGGAATTACTCCCCTCCGCCGCATCCTACCCCGTCCCGCCAACACTACCGAAGACCCGGGATTCGAACTCGAAATCTCAGGAGCTGCCCGCCTACTCAAACACCAGGCCCGCCCAGAGGAACCATGCGCATGCGCCATTTTCAGCCTCACCGGGCTCCACGCCCTCTCCGTAATCCGCATGCGTACCGAAACCAGGACCCTCCACGCGCGCGCGCGCGCCCAGATCGCGGCGCATGCGCAGAGCCAGCAGCGCGGGGCCTGACTTGTACGACTGCACAGTCTTCCTCTTTTTCCTCCTCTGGGCTCTTCCGGGACGCCGAGGCCTGTTCCGGAATAGCTGGCACCCGCTTTCTCTGCCTCTCTCTAACGTTCGTGACCTTCCGGCGCGCCATTAACTCGGCAGGTGGCTGTGGAGGACCCTCCCCGCCCACGCAGCACTCCTGTCACTCAGAGCGCGCGCCGCACCCCAGGAACCAATCAGCAGCCGCAGGAGGTAAGGGGGCCCCGCGAGTCTGCGAGAAGCACGCGCGCTGACGGGGCGGGGCTTGAGGGGTGGGGCGTGCTCAAGCCGCGCCCCCTGCTCTACCGTTAGGAGGTCGCTGGGCAGCTGGCCCATGTGAGTGGGACTCGCATTGGTGACGCCGTTGGCTGGAGGTACAAATAAAGTAATGGAAACTAGAGCTCCTATGAAGTGTCCTCGTAGCACCGATATGGCCCTCCTAATAACATCAGAAGGCTATTTCTGGAACTACTCCCATAGAAGCCCGAAGCCCGACACTCTTACCTACCCAAGGAATATATTCGTGAGACCTGGGTTTGGGGGTTCTCTATGCCTGAGTATAGGGAGGAGGCCCCGTATAAAATTGCAAATATTTACAATTAGTACAGTTTTAAGTACTAAGGAGCACTTAGAAAAATGGTAAGTAGGGCTGGGCACGGTGGCTCACACTGTAATCCCACCAGTGTGGGCACAGAGACAGGAGGATTGCCATGAGTTTGAGGCCAGCCTGAGCTACATAGAACAGGAGGACCCTGTTTCAGAGGGAGAGGAGAGGAGGAGGAAACTGTAGACTACTAAGTTCTGTAATGTGTCGTGCCTCAAGAACAAAGGCATTAGAACAGTTAGGAATTTGAGGTCTCCAGGAAAATTTTGCAAAGCAACTTGTCAATTCTGGAAGATTCTCCAGAAGAGACGCTTGAGAACAGAGGTGGTCGAGGGGTGGGAAGATGGCTCAGTCTGTGAAGTGGTTGTTTGTAAGTATGAGGACCTGAGTTTGAACCCTGCAACCACATGAAACGTGGGGTGTGGTGGCATGGATTTGTAGTCCCCTGCTGGGGGAGCAGAGACAGACAGATGTGTGGGGTTCCTTGGCCAGCAGTATAGCCTAGTTGATAAGCTCCGGGTTCTGTTGAGATACCATGTCTTAGAAAGTGGGGCTTGGTGGTAAAGGTGCCACCAAGGCCAAAGAGCTGATTTCCATCTCTGGGACCTATGTGGTGGGAAGAGAAACTGGTCTCTCAGAGGTTGTCACCTGACTTCCACATATATGATACATCTCTGTGTGTATGTGGGTGAGTGGATGGGTGTGTGCACCTGTGCATACACGATTAATGATTTGAAAGAAAGTGGATGACACCTAAGAAACTACACCTGAGATTGACACCTGGCCTCCACATGTACACACACAGACACATGCTTGCATACTACACCTGAGATTGACACCTGGTCTCCATATGTACACACACATGCATGCCACACTACACCTGAGATTGACACCTGGCCTCCAATATACACACACACATGCATGCACACTACACCTGAGATTGACATCTGGCCTCCACATGTACACACACACACATACATGGACAGAGAAGCTCTGGAAGTTCCCACCCCAAGAATATGCTTGTTAGGCTTTGTCTCTGTGAGGTCACTGTAAGAGCCCTGAGAATAAACAATTACATAATAGTTTGTGGAGAGTGCTCCCAGAGAACGCTGGAGACAGCATTCCAGTCGATGGCCGCTTAGGTTCTCAAATACTGATTCCAGAACACTGTGCAAATGAACACTTACTTGCCTGGAAGAGGGATAGTCACAGTAAACAGGCGCTTTAGTGCGAGGCAGGATCGCTGTGGGGCACCGGGGAGGTTTTCAGAATAATAGGGGAAAAGACAGTTAATTTTAGGGGAGGAAGGAGTCCCAGGTTGTGGAGAGGTCCTAGGTCTGTAAACAGTCATTTACGCTCTGAATCACTCCCATAAGCATCTGTTATCAGCCCTTCCCCTCCTCGGTCAGTCCAGTCTGTGGCTGGGAAGAGGTCACTAGAGCCTAAGAGGGGCTAGACAAGCCCCTACATGGCTAGCAAGATTGCCCCTCATTTCTAGAGTGTTTCACAGGGACCTGTTGATGTCATCGAGGCCTGAGGTGGACATGGGGAGGGTTTTGAAGGAACGCAGTATAAGCGCCAGATGCTGTGTGTCTTGGTTCTTGGGACCCCACCTCCATTGCTTCTGCCGTCTGTAGAAGGCAGCAATAGCCACTCTGTAAATTGGTTGGGGCCAGGTTCCAATGAGATTGTATGTTTGGAAACTCAAGACAATATAGGTTTGGTCTACGGACCATGATTTGCCAACCTGACCTCTTGAGCTAGAGCAGGCTGTCCATACAGTTCTGTGAACAGCGGAGGACTCAGGCCGTCCATACAGTCCTGTGGACGGGGGAGGAGGACTCAGGCCGTCCATACAGTCCTGTGGACGGGGGAGGAGGACTCAGGGTCCTCCATACAGTCCTGTGGACGGGGGAGGACTCAGGCCGTCCATACAGTCCTGTGAACAGATGAGGACTCAGGCCGTCCATACAGTCCTGTGAACGGGGGAGGACTCAGGGCTGTCCATACAGTCCTGTGAACAGATGAGGACTCAGGCCGTCCATACAGTCCTGTGAACGGGGGAGGACTCAGGGCTGTCCATACAGTCCTGTGGACAGGTGAGGACTTAGGACCGTCCATACAGTCCTGTGGACAGGTGAGGACTCAGGGCATCCATACAGTCCTGTGGATGGGGGAGGACTCAGGCCGTCCATACAGTCCTGTGAACAAGGGAGGACTCAAGCCGTCCATACAGTCCCGTGAACAGGGGAGGACTCAGGCCGTCCATACAGTCCTGTGGACGAGGGAGGACTC